TGCAGCCGAAGATCTGAAACCGGCGGCAGCGACTGGCAATACAGATGCGGAAGGCTGCTGCAATCGTTGGTTTGCTTGCTGAAATATTTCATCTTGTATTTCGCCAGTTTTGCCTTTGAACAAGGAATAAGCAAAACTATATGAAACCAAAAACATGCAGCAGCATCTGTAACAGCGCCAGGCATCTGTTCGCCTTACCAAATCGAGTCAATAGCATATTGTCTTATGGCTGGTGAATTGTATTTCCAGCAAACAACAAACCCGCAAACAACAAGAAGCACATGAAAAGAATTTATTCGTGGTGTTGAAAGTGAAATACTTGATATGCTTTGCTCGTTCTCTCCTCGGCGAGTATATGCACCGCCAACTCATCAGGCGTTGGTGAGGGTTGGTGGTTTAGCGTTAAGGGTTTAAGGGCTTGGACTTGCAGTTTTCCAGCTCATCAACAAAGTGTATACACTAGGCTGATAAAATCTGGCTTTATATAATGCCTCTTTTCGTTTTTTCTGTTTCCATGGCACCTCGTTTATTGCCTCACAATGGGCCGCTTGTAATCTCTCCCTGCACTCACTGCTCGTTGTGTAGAACACAAAAAGCAATATTCTCAGCATACACTTCTGAGGCTGTTGAGTTCGTGTTTCCCTGCTTGCTGCACCGTTGGTGTGAGAATGCGTCGTCTTGGTACTGAAGCTGAAATGTCTAATACAATTGGCCATTGGTTTAGGCTTTAGGCTTCTAGCTTTATGGTTCTATTGCACTCCCCGCACAACCAGCATTCGTGATCCTGACTCTGAAGCTATAATATTTTAATGTGGGGCATTGTTCACAGATACTTCTGTTTGTACAGATGTCGCTGTTTATACAGTTGATTCCATTTACACATTCGCCGGTGCTTACAGTTACCTTTACGTATGCTAGGCTTTCTCATGTGGAGTGCCTAGAAATGAAACAGAGTGGGGCGTGGTGCTTGCCTCTGTTGCTTTGCTGCCCGACCGGCTAGACACGGTTATAGGTGCAGCGATGAAGATCAGTGACAGCGGAAAACGACGCTTACTGAATGCAGCAGTTGTGTATATATTCCAGCTGTTGCTTTACTGCGCCTCTAACTTTGATGAAAGTGTGAAGGATTGCTGGTTCCAGCCGCGTTTCAAAAAAAAAGGAAACGGAGCGGTGAAACGAGAATAACACCATGCAGAGGCAGAGAGGCACAGCATCTAGTCTTTCCCCTTTCTACTATTCTCCTTTTCGGGAGACTGAATATTGTACGTTGTGCAGTACCATGAGAAGTGGACAGTTCATCATATCTATTTCTTTCCCTCATCGATTACTTCTTGTAATCGCTGACAAAAGAAATACCCGAAACCGCTATATTGAATTCAATCAAGTGAATGTATCCGTCAGATATTACTGCTGAAGAGAAAGATGCTGCTGGTTAGATGTTTACCTTTCCTCATATAAGGGGCCTCTATGAGTGCAGTATTTGCACACATATGAACCCAATAAATGACAACAAATTCATTTTCTAGTGATTTCTTCTTTCTTCTGAACTTGGGCTTTTGTTGCACTCCATCAGATGGAGGTTTAGTCTGAGCACGATCGCTTGGCCTAGATCACCGCTGCTGCTCGCCCGCTGTGGCTCTCTACTCTTCTTGCATATTCATGACGCAGCGGATGCATTCTGTCTTCTTGAGAAGGTCAAATGCCTCATTTATTTGTGAAAAGTGCATGCTGTGGGTGCAGTACTTCTCCAGCCTGCAACAAAACGTCAGATTAAAACCTCTCACTATCCAAGCAGATTCAGGTTTCGGGGGGCACTGCACTCCTCTCCTTCAGTAGTTGCAGTTGCACCAGGAGCAACACTGCATTCCCATTGCAGTTATTCGCTACAACAACATTACACAATGCGATGGGAAATAAGCTCAAAGAACAAAAGAAACAATACTGCTGAGACTACAGCTGCAGCAGAAACGAGGAAACAACACGGGTTGCAGACGCAGGTAAGCGCGAGTTTACCGAATCTCTCCGTTGATGACTTTCTGAGCGAGCTTTGGAATATCTTCTCTGGACCTCCAGCCGCCGAAAACGGAGCCCTTCAGTTGTCGTCCCACAATGAAGTGGTATGGCCTTGTGCTGATCTCTTTGCCTGCCTCTCCGATTCTGCGGAAACATTCACCACTCACCAACTCAGCAGAGTGTAGATGATCTGAACTGAATAGCAGCTGCGTTGCAGCTGCAAGCAGCCCGTCAGGAAGAAACACAACAACACCTGTGTGGCAACTAACTAGTTTACTACGCCGCGTATATGCATCGAGCACCGGGATACTGGTATTCAGACTTCGTGTAAAATGCAGAGTGAATCATGAACTTGAAAGTAGGATCTATGAAAACCCATTTCCAGCTCATCTTGACCTCAACAAAGACTCTCACCCGACGATCACTGCGAGACCCCATCCCTTGCAGGTCGATTCCAGTGCGCTGCGCATCACGTTAGTGCTCCCGGTGCACTCGAAGGCGAAGTCTACCCCGCCTGCACGCGGGCAAAGTCAGAGCAGCAAAGCTGAGCTGAAGAGGGTTTATTGCGTACAGTTTAGGATTTAGGGTTTAGGGTTTGTCAGCTAGCTACTCCCCCATTGAAACTGCAAGCCTGCAGGCTCAATAGTTCATACCCACCGAAGAGAAATGAACAGGTAGTATGTGGGTGCCAATAGGAGCTCTTACAAACTTACCATCAGTCATATCTATTATAACTTCTTGGATTGGCTTGTCGAATTTCTTAGGATTGATAAATTTCGTTCCTCCGAATTTCTTTGCAACCTCCAGCTTGTGCTCGTTAATATCAACGCAAATGATTTCCTTTGCTCCACAGAGGCTGGCGCCTTCTACGCAGGCCAAGCCGACGCAGCCGAGTCTGTTAGTGAAAGCAATGCGCAGTTTGAGTGTGTGTTTACTTCCTATTACCTCTAGCTTTGATTGTTTTAAGCTTTTATGCAATCGATTAAAGAAAAACTTCACATATTCGCATGGGCCCAGTGAACTGCATGCAGATGGAATATATTCAAAACTAATTTGAAGAAATGAGTGAGTTGAGGTTTCTAGTCGAGTGGAGGAAGGGTTTACCCATAGACGGCAACAGTAGATCCTTTTTCAACCTTTCCTGTGTTCATGGCGGCGCCCATCCCAGTTGGCACTCCACATCCTAGCAAGCACATCTGTTGTACAAAGCAAAGAAACACACAAACTGGCTCAGTTGAAGTACCTTCAAGCTGCGTGAAGATGAAATTAAACTACAAGATACCCCTCTGCCTCATGGCAGCTCCAGCTTCACCCCGCGGGGAGAGAAGTTACAGACTTACGAGATTCATCGGGCTGTTATCCGGGATGACAGCAACACATTCTTGAGGCACAACTGTATACTGCGAGAAGCTGAACATTCACAAACACCCCATCAGCACGAAATTTACTGCTCTCTGCACTCAGTCCGCTACAGTCCAGCTGTATGTTCTCAGTTCAAACAGAGAAACGTGGCCTTTTGATTGGGTAAGAGATGAAATCGAGGAACTGTTGGTCTCTTGAAATATTGTTTTCAAGAGAGATGAGCGGCTGCTGCTAACCTGGATGTGCCCATGAAGTGGTGGATTGGCTTTCCATCCATGGTAGTGAAGCGCGACGTGTTGTCTAGAGGCATTACACCCTTAACAAATGGCTCGAGGAACTTTCCACACATATTCGTCTTGTGGCATTCATGCCCGCGACAGGTTCGGCACTTTCTTTCTTTTCTGTCTTCTGGGANCACATATTCGTCTTGTGGCATTCATGCCCGCGACAGGTTCGGCACTTTCTTTCTTTTCTGTCTTCTGGGAAGCACTGGGGCTGCAGTTCATTCGCCACAGACGAGGCTAACTGTACTTATCCCTCTTTCATGCTGCTTCAAGGTTTTGTTGTGGATGGAGGTCGGTTACGTTTCACTAATCTAGAGTATGGCTTCGCAGATGGACAAGGGGGGAGAAGGCACAGCCACTCCTTACCTCCCACAGGGGAATGACTTTGTCGCCGGGCTTGCAGGTGATAACCCCTTCTCCGATGGACTCCACCTCTCCACAAGACTCGTGTCCCAGGATGCAGGGGTATACGCCAGTTGGGTCAACCCCTCGTTGAGTGATCTGAATGACACATTTGGAGTTCTTGGGTGCCGCATGAGTAGAAACTCTGTCCTGATACTTTTCGTGAGGAAACGCTGAAGCAACAGGCTGAATCCTGCGTTCTTACGTCTTAAGGGATATAAAGGAAGGAAACGTACCTCATCAGTGTGGCAGGGACAGGCGTAGAGAATCTTAATTCGGACTTCGCCGCGTTTTGGCGGTGCTACGTTAACGTCGATTATCTGCGGATCACGAAGAACACGGCAACTTGAAAAGCAAACCCTCGCTATATTCTATTACTATTCACCTCACTGAAGGCCTGAATGGACCTATGCAGCGGAATGTGGTCAGCAACTTCTGTGCGCGTTGTCCCCACGCCCTCCATTGGTGCTGAAACCTTTCCCTGCTGTTCCCCCCGCGGGCTGAGCAGTTAGCTACATGGTATTTCAGATGTTTCTTTAATGTTATTTCAACGAAAGAAGTAAACTTACTTCGAACGGCTGGCCGGGAGCCATAACAACGGCCGCCTTGCAGACGATCGTTTGCGGAAGGTCACTCATTCTCCCTGGAAATTTGAAACCTGAACTGGCAGCACTCGCTTCAGCGAGAAATTCCTAACTTTTTCACGGAATAATACCACAAATTTGCTGGAATAGGAAGCGAAAAAGAATCACAGCCACGCAGAAGCCCGCGGTCAGACCGGTATGCAGGCCAGTGACCACTGAGGAAAATTCATGTTTTAGAGGTGTTCAAAAAATGCAGCAACTTTGCTGAAATTTTACTCATATAACCTGTGTATGTATTTTAAATTGCTTTTAATGCTTATTTCAGAAATTTTAAGGGGTTAATCGGCGGCAGCAACGCGGGTTTCTTGGTTGATCGTTCTCCCCTACACGGCACGACCTATCGCTGTGCTTGTCACCAATGCAGCCGGTGCAGTAACACCGGAAATTCCAGCTTATTTACTCATATAGAAGTTTTATATTGACACGATCACGAGTATGTATGTGCACCATAACTATTTGTTATCACCTGAAGAGCTGCCGTGAAGCCACGCTGAGCCCATCTATACTGCATTGCTGTCACTGTAATTCGAGGTATTCTTTCAGTACTTGTTTAATGGCGTCTATTGCAGTAAACCAAAGCGCCAGCTGAAATAGAGGGATCTATAAGAAACATACCTCCCACTACTCTGCATTCCTCAGCGACAAGAAAGGGGGGCAACAATTTGGCTTTTTGAAATTCATTTCAACAGCCAGCATTGGCCGTTGAGCTTAGCTTCCACCCCCCAAAAAAAGATGAATTTCCCCTCTATTTTCAATATTTATGCACTATGTATATCCGTTCTGTTGATATGAAAGCTGCAGCCATCCGTCAAGTGGGGTGACCTGTGCGTATATCTCTGCTTACTTATCACGGTTGGTTATGAAGAGAGCAAATTAAATGTTATATTTACAGTGTTAGTGCATGCATCAGGGGGGGCTGTGTTGTGCTTGGGTGCGGGGTGACCTGCAGCATGAGTTGCAGCACGGTGCGTTGCAACCCCGAAACACGTCGCTGCAGCTCGCATCAGCCCCAGGCCTTTCGGCGGCTGTACCCAGGAAGTCTGAGGTGTGAACAGGATGTTAGCTGCTTGAAGGAATTATTTTTTTTATTATTTTAACTCTAAT